GCGCTCGGCTCCTCTCGACTGCTGCTCGGGTCTGCTCGGTCAGCTTCCGGATGAGGAAGCATTCATTCGACCAACTTACAGTAGATAACATTACAAACATTTTTAACAGGAGCCATAATAGTGTAAATAATGTTTGTTTTGGCAGTTATAACTGAATGTAATGTTTTCTACTTTTTTACATCTGGGAAGGCATTTGCCTTCATCAGATGGAAAGTGTCTTGACCAACAACTTAAGTATTTCTTATAGCTATGCAGGGCATGCAAGCGAGCAAACAAGAACAAACAAACAAGTGAAATGAAGAATAAAATTGAAATTGTACAATATAATATTGTGGTGGTTCATCTTATAATTCAGTCTAGAGAATGCACCAGACATCTACAGTAAGACCTGGAAAAATCTAAATTTTCTAGGGGGAGGCCCCCCAAACCCTTCGTGCCATTTCGTCCGCGCGCATTTTTCAGGGCAATCTCTATTGGGCTCAGGGCCATCTGTAAATTAGCTTAGATGGCCCACAGGGCCATCTCCCAAAATCATTAATGTCATGCACTGTCCAGTACTATGGGTAAAGTACTATGGGTACATTGCTGTGTGGATACAGTAGCCTACTATGGCTACAGCATTATATGAAAAGAACTATAAGTGCAATGTTATGTGTAGTACAGTATTATTGACAGAAGAGCACGCGCACCTGAGGCTGTCGTCATCGCGCACAACACAAACGCTCTCGGTGTGCGGCAGGTAGCAGTCCTGGAGGAAGAGCTGCAGGACGCTGCTGCGGCTGAACCCGAACTTCTCCCGGATCAGGCTCTCCAGGTCCGCCACCACCCGGCAGGTGTTCAGGTCCGCGAGCAGCCAGCACATGCGGCATCCCGCCACAGCCGGAGGCGGGTAGTCGAAGTGGAGGCGCACGCGAATAAAGTTTTTACCGTGAGCAGCCATGAGCACGAGAGGACCAAATCACCGCTCTGTTCCGCCGGAAATAGTCACGGTATTTCTAACGGGGAGTTTCAGAACAAGAGTGTTAAATAATGTAGATACACCTTTCACATTTCTTTCTTTGTTACTGTTTTAAATTCACCAAACAGAGTGAAAAAAGAGCCAAAAGTTAATTATCTTTTAGAAAATAATCTGTCAAATATTAAATTGCCTGATGTTAAAGTGTCGTGAAATTGGAATCGAATGGATATACACCCAATATGTTACACATAACATACATTCACTATAAAGTTTATGTATTTATCATATTAATTCAACTGTTATCTTCAAATCAAGGTGTTTCTCAATGTCGAGGAAGGCTGCTCCAGAACCAGGCTTGTTTGAGATGAGCTGCGGCTCGCCTCGAAAGTAGACTTCTTCTTCTTCTTCTTCTTCTTCTTCTTCTTCTTCGGGCCTTTCTCACTTCTCTTATTTTTCAAGAAGGATATTGTATTTTTCATTTCCTCGCTCCTCGGTCTCACCGGAAGTTGATTTGTCTGCGCCATCTTGAGTAGCGTCCCAATGGCCTTATTTTTGTCGGAGGAGCGATAATGGAGGAGCGATAATCGAGGAACCACCAGACCATCCTCCGATGAAATCCTCAGACACTCGCCCAGCCCTCTTACTGTGTATCGCTCACTGATTGGACGATGCAGCGCATGCACTGATCTGATGCTTCTTGACATGAGAGCAGTTTCCCAACGGAGTGAAGAAAATACATGAACCTCACGAGAGTCACTCCTCAGTTTATACCGTGTTTTGTTCCAATTAATGTATCATTTAGTCACAAATATGTGATATATTTGAACAACAAAGTAGTCAAAAATCTTTTTATTCATTTATTGGAAACATTTTCATGATCGCTTTTTTCGTTTTCCATTCAGTCAGTCATTAGGTGCTATTTAAAATGTTAATTTGCTACATATCCAAACAAACAAACAAAGTGTGCAATCCAATGAATGTTAATCTAACTGGGTTTTGATATACATGTCTCTTTTTCTTCTCTCAATTATTTGTATTTATATTGTGCACTCTAATCAATATTA